TCAGAAGGGATTTGCTTTGAACTTTACTGAAAAGAATCACAGGTTCGGACTGTAACAATAGGAAGAGGCAGCAGAACAGACAAACAGGGAGACTACTGGGTGCCTTTGCAGCAATTCAGCAAAGTATGAGCATGGCCTGACCCAGGAGGACAGTCAGCATCATGGAAAGCAGTGAGGGCCCTCAAGTGTCTTACAGATTTCCAGATGGGTTTGTTGAGGGCATGAAAAACTAAGTTGAGAGGAACAGCTGTTTGCAAAAGGGTGAATGGCTTTACCTTCTGCAAAGGTTTTGTGAACTGAAGATAAGATTGAAGTGCAAATAAGTTCACAACAGAGAAATGACAAAAGAGGCGCATTCCCCATTGCTGAAAAATGGAGATTATTGAGAAAACTACAGAAGTAAAGCACTCAAGTATGTATTTTTTGAGCATCTTAGCAAATGATAGTTTTGAAGCTGTTGTGATTAATAAAACATGTCACCACAATTTTTAAAGTAAGCCTGAGGAATTTTAGTGATATAATTATGTAAAAACAAAGTTACATCAAAAGTGAAATTAGCCTTTAATCCCAGCACTTGGAAGACAGAGGCAGGCGGATCTCTTTGAGTTCGAGGCCAGCTTAGAGCGCGTTCCAGAACAGCCTCCAAAGTCACAGAGAAATCCTGTCTCAAAAAAAAAAAAACCTAAAAAAAAAAAAAGGGAAATTAAAACTGGGTGTGTTAGCAGCTATCTGCAATACGAAATCTTGGGAGGCTGAGGCAGGAGAATCATTTCGAGCCTGAACCCAGCCTGACCTACACATTGAATTCCAGGACAGGCGGGGATACATAGAGAGACCTGGCCTCAAAATAAATACATAAATGGTAAATTAATTAATTAAAATATTTTAATTTTCTTAGTCATTTGTTTTTCCATATCCTTTGGAGGAAAAATCGAATTTTGTGTGTAGCGTTAAGAATGGAATCTAAGGCCTTGCACTGAGCTATATTTCCATCCCTACAAGTAGACACTTTGTCCTGTATATATGTAGAGAAACAGAATATTCTGAGATTATTTATAAATAAAAATGCAAGTGTTCTCAACGGATGGCCAGAAGTCATTACTGTAAGTCTGGGAGGTATTAGAAACTCTAATAAAAACACACCAAAAATTAGACTTTATAACTGGGAGTGGGGGTTTTGTGGGCTCAAGGTGAAAGAGAGAGTGGGAAGCCGGTATAAAGACATTAACTGTAGTTTGCATCTCTGTAACACTTGGCACTTAGCAAGGGTTTTAGGAATGGGGTCTGAGTCTATTCACAACCCTGTGAAATGAAGTCAGGAAAGATGGTATCTCCCTCTATAAGGTGGCAAGTTCTCCAAAGCTCACTGGAAGAGAAAGTGACAGAGCCAGGATTCACAGGAGGGCTCCTGGCTACACAGCAGCCCTCCCTTAAGACAGTATAGATACTTGATAAATTAAGTGCTTACTCTTGGCTAAGTATCGAACTGCCTGTTGCACAAGGTGGTGTGGTGGCATCCAAAAGACAGAGAAAGTCACTCTGGTCCTGGGCAGATATCAGTCTGGGCCTAGCAAAATTAAACAGAGGCTGTGAAATTGGCTCTCATATCCACAAAAGGAATTCACTGTTAAAAGTGAAAAAATAAATGTGGTCCATAAGGACCCTGTGGCCACAGGGAAGGCGGGCTTTCCTAAGCCTGAGGGGCTTTGCCTGTCTCTGAACCAATCATCACAGAGATTAGGGTGGGACTGTGCAGCGTCCAGTCATGGACACTTCGAGGTCACATGGCCACTATTGTGTAAAAGCAGGTAGCTCAGCTAGAGGAAATGGACTAAGGGGAGTATTGGCTTTCTAAGGAAAACAACTGAGTTCCCACTAGAGGGAAAACTGACCATTAGGAGGCAAATGCAGTAAGAAGCATAATAAGACACGGAATGGGGTGTTTCTAGATTGCAGAAACACTCAGTTTATTTGGGGAGGGGAGAGGTATCCGTATGCACACACATGTGCTTGTACATGTACGACTGGGTGTGTGGAGGCCAGGGCTTGGTGTTGGGTGTCTTTCTCGATGGCTTCTCCACCTTATTTGTTGCCACAGGATCTTTCACTGAACCTGGAGCATAGTGATTACTAGGTGGGTCCATGAGCCCTGGGATCATTTGGGTCAGCCCCACTCTCCAGTGCTGGGATTACAGGCCTGCCCTGACACACACACACACACACACACACACACACACACACACACACACAACAACACAACACACACACATCCTACACACACACACATCCTACACACACACACACACACACACACACACACACACCCATCCCACACAAAC